ACATTATGACCACCAGGGAAGCCCACGTCTTCATAATGTAATCGCTGATCGGTGTATCACATTTAACAAAGTTGTACACCTTCCAACAATACATGAAGAATGTCAGATGTACCTGTTGCTGATTATTCATTCATTATTTCAAATCTTGTTTTGTTCGGCAATCAGATAAATTGTCTACCTATACATGACCTGTGCCATCCACTTCATGGGCAACTCTTGTAAGATCAAATTTAGCAATGATTTTAAGCGTATAAAATTTGTCCTAAATGTTCAGACTGATGTGACAGATAGGAAGAGCAAAGCCTTACATGATTCCTATTCAAGTGATAATGCGCTACTGCATCAGCACTGCTGCATCAGGTCCATTTGCTTTCTCTACACTCTGTCTCTTTCAATAATTACTGAAGCTCGATCTCTCATGCTCGGTAAATTCAAAAAGGTTTCACGTTTTACTCTACACTCGGTACTACACAGCGAACAGCATCTCACATACAGTCTAAAGAGATCATTACTCCTCAGTAAAGTGCTCTCATGCATGGCAAGGGGAAGCCGCCGTTCACGTCCCTCTAACAAGACATATTATGAAAATGCTTTCTTATTTATAAGGTTATGTAAATCAAAAGGAAGTGGCAGGTTGCCGGGTAATGGTTGCAAGCCATTTAGTGAGACAAGATGGTGAGGTGCATTTATTTATGTAAACCAGGCCTTTGTATGTGAATCAGGCTGATTTGCAATAATCAGGTTTTTGCTGTGGCTCACAGAGAGAGAAACGCTACCTCACTAAAAACTAAATGTTTGACATTAAACATATTTCTTCTTGTAAAAAGATACAATATGGTGCATTTTATCATTGGGGAGTACTGTACTTCTCAGTGACTTGGTCTGCCTATTCTGTTATATATCATAATATCACACCTTATATACTGGATGCAAATGATCCCAAAAAAGCAGTATAAAATCTACAGCCTCTAGCCAAGCGGTAGGAACCGTCCTTCATTGTGAAAACAGAAAGAAAAAGGTACATTTAGACCACTAACAGATGAATTGTATCAGATTTTTTCATTTACTTTTCCATTCTGACACACTATTTATAGTCTGTATAGTGAGTAGTGACTAAGTGAACGATTTCAGGCACAGCCAGTGGTTAATGCCATGAAATGTGAATCTTGCCAACAATGATGCTATGAAAGTGATCTTTGCATGCATGTATTCAGGCAATTGCACAGAGAAATAAGTTGCCTGTCTCTCTATTTATCCTGTGTTAGTATTTGATAAGACTTTGGTTCTTTGTATAAAACAATCTTATTTAGGTTTTGTGCTTCGCTTTGTCCTACCCAGAGCAAGTTATTGGCCTATTTCATTATGAGAAATAATGTTTTCTTTAGATATTTTGTGGTTTCCAGAGCATTGCTTTACATTGTTTTTTGTATTTTTGATATCATCCTTTCTTTTTATTCTGTTATGTTCACTCTTTAACAAAAAGTTATACCTGTGTAGGGATCCTGTCCATGTTGTTAGACACATAAAATAACAATCTCAGCCTGTCAGTGGCAAAAACAAGCACTGGTAGTGGACGTACTTTGAGCGTAGTTTGAGCGATGCGTTTGTCCCCAGGGAGTACATGGCAGCCATTACAGACCATTTCTCTTCTAACTCAGTGAATTAAGGGTTTAGTTCGACCAAAACAGAGTTGGTGATTGTTGTGGAAAGACCAACAAAGACAATTTTGGCGAGTTTTATTTTGTTTGAATGAAGTTTTATGAACTGGGAAGTAAAAGTAGTGTTTTTGTCAATGGAGTCTGGTAGGCCATTGTTCTGGTCTGACATGCTGGTGCTCTAGTGCGACATCTAGTCTGAAAGTTGTATACAGCACCTTTAATGTTGTTGATCATATTTTGTTTTTGTTTGGAGTTTGTTCGCTTTGCCCAGATAATTATGTGTACATGTTTGTGTTATGGGGAGTTTACTTGAATAGCCCATAAAAATACTTTTTTGGGGCCACGGATTGGTTGTTGTATTGTTTTTAAGTATGTATAGATCAAGTATTATGCAAGCTTGTAGTATAACTCAACACATTCAATAAATCTACCACAATAATAAACAACAAACAGAAGTCTGTAGAAAACCACATGCACCACCAAATGACAGTCCATTTGCATTGAATGAGTGGAGCAAATTCACAGTAGCAAACCTAGAAAAGCACAGCCCTCAGGAAAAATACATGTTTACTATTTAAAAAAATATCCAGAGTGCATTTAATGCCCGAGGACGTTTGGACACTTATTTATAGGAATAAGGACAATACCTAAAGTTCATTTATTCAGAACAGTCATAACCATGTGCTTTTAATATAATCTGAATCATATGGTACAGATGGGCCTGCTGAACCATGTTTAATTGGTCAGACGAAAACCTGCCTGTGTTATGGGACAGTACATCCCACTGTGAAACTATCCAAATGTCAACTTAACTCTTGCCAGTTTGGATGGCGATAAAGAGCATCAGCAAAAAAAAAATGTTGGACAGCGGGATGGGTCAGGAGGCACGAATGACATCACTCCAGAGAGATGAAATTCTTATAAGCCGAACCTGGTTTTACTACGATGATCAAACTGTCGGACGTTTTAATAGCTGCACTTAAATTAACAATCTGTATAACTGCCGCCTTCCTCTCCCTACTGCTGATTACTGCGACACAACAGTGATTAAAGAAAGTTCATTACAGCTTTTTGATTGAATGTCTTAAGAGCTGATGTCTTGTACTGTAGGTAAAATGCTGTGTTTAATGTTTCTGTGTGGTTAGCCCTGCTGGCATTTTTAGCTCATTGAGCAGACACCGGGGTTCTTCTAGTTGCATGCAGCAGCGACAGCAGTCACCCTGGAGCCAGGATCATCATTTACAGAATCAACCAATC